TCCAGTTAAGCCTATCATAAGGTCATCAGAAATGTTAGAGGGACGGCCTCCCTAGGCTTTCTGATTTCTGGACTGTATCATCGGGATAGTTTGGACGGTGAATACTGAGTTCTATTTTTAGCCCTCTTGAGTGAAAACAGGAGCTTATGTGCTTGGCACCAGTTAAGGAATTTTCCACTCATCCTCCAATTCGAGAAGCTCTGATCTGACCGTGGGCCATCAGAGCAGGCCCTACTCATATTTCAGTCATCCCACGGTGTCATCACCCCAGACCTGGCTTAGGTTGGGGAACGAAGGGGATGAGTGCCTTGAAAGCCGTTCAAAGGGAGCCCTGGGTGTTTGACAGAGCCTAGGGCCCTTGCAAGACTTTACTGAGCCATGACGGATGGAGGGATAACTTTTTGAGGCAAGAAGTAGTGAGAGGAAGTTCACCCCTTGCCCAAAGAACAGTGGGCCTACAGCCGAAGCTGTTGACTCATTTCATTGCAGGGTGAGCTCTACGTCATTCTGGTTTGGCTTGCCGGAAGCAAAAAGTAACTTCCTTGATGCAGAGAATTCATAAATGGGAAGAGCTGATACCATTTCAAAAACAAGCACTTAAGGAAGAAGGGCCGTCGCCAAGTTGCAAGGCTGGCCTTAGCGAGCCAGAGCTGATCCATGTCAGCCACTTCAGCAGGATTGTATCCAGAGTCGATCAGCAAGACTCCTTCCAGAGGGTGTTGGGGAAGAATAAAGCAGCTATCCTCTCAGAAATCACAGCCCACGTAGGCCATCCTAAAGTGGGTCCACTCACTGGAAATGAACGAACATGCAACCCACGAGTCAACACCAAGCACAAATATGGGTAGTGCAGGCTGTAGGTGGGATGGGGTGTGGACACAGCTGGAGTATTGTTTCATTGAGACAGAGTGGTTGGAAACTGATTCTCTCTCTCTCTCCCAGTTAGGCATAAAAAAGATTTGTGGCAGTGATGCTCAGATCCAGTCTGAGGATCAGTGTAACTTGGGTCTTAATGTTGCATCTCTCCAGAAGTGGGTGAGAGGAGAGAATCTCAGTATGCTCATGTTTATGGGGAGTGGAGATGATGGGTGAAACCTTCTGCCTTTTTACCGTTTCCTCATGGGTTGTGCAGGGGCCAGTCCCTTCACTGATGAGTCCCTGTTTCCTCCTGCATAAAGGCAAGTACAACCGAGGACTCCCCGGACAGGGTTTGAAGGAGTAGATGAGATAAAGCATTTACCTGGCACTGCGTCTGGACAATAGAGAGTGTTTGATAAAGGTTTGCATGAATAACCTTTGGTAGTTAGTAAATGACACTTAGTTGGAGCCTACCAGAGTTGAGTCCCTCTCCTCGACATTTCAGTCATCTGGTTTGTTACTTATCTTTGGCACCCATTCGGCGACTGTCACTCAAAACTGGTTGGTTTGATAGCCTGAGCTTTAAAGAGGCTGCGACTAAAGATGGTTGGGGTCAGTTTCATTCAGTCTTCCTAGTCTTTCCTGGCCTCTGCATCCCCATGTGGAAATGGTGCTGGGTCTCCAATCTCACGTCTGTTTCCTCCCCACATCGGGGCCATCTCTATCTCTTCCCATCTTCTCCCTTTCTTTTCTCACTTCTTGTCTTTTACTTTTTCACTTTGTCCCCCTCGATCTTATTTATGTTTCTCCTAAGGCAACAGATGGGTGGGGAAGACCTGGTCATAACACCTCAGCGTCAGCCGGGCTTGGTGGCTCAACCTGTAATCCCAGCATTTTCGGAGGCTGAGGTGAGTGGATTGCCTGAGCCCACAGGTTCCAGACCCGCCTGGGCACCTTGGCGAGACCTCATCTCTACAATAAATCAAAAACAACAACAACAACAACAACAACAAAACCCCTCAGGGTCAGCTCTTCACCAGAGTCTGAAGGAAGTCTGAAGGTTTTTGTCACAATGACCCAGGTGTTCAGTACCATATGTCCCCACCACCAGATCTTCCAGCCACTGCTCCCCCATTGCCCGATTCTTCTGTGGCTAGAAAGGATAGACGGATTTGTTTCTATAGTGGAGATCCCTAGAGCGTGACGCTGTTAACATCCAGCAGGGGCCATGACGGAGATGAGAGAAACGTGGACTTTGGGTTAGAAATTAGAGTTTGTTTGTTTTTGTTATCTGGCTGTTCACCGCGGGGCTTGGTCTAGATCTTTGCAGTTCTCATCGCTCTGAGAGTGATCACTGTTGTGAGGCTATTTCTGGACTGATAAGTGCAGTATTTCACTTCTCTGGCTGTGTTTAGGAAATAAAGGATTTGAGTGTTTAAAATTATTCTTGATAGTGGACGTAAGTTAGTTTTTTTCTGCTAGTGTAAGATTATTTCAGGGTAAATACTGAAATTAACCCTCTCCAGTGTACCAGATTTTCTTAACCTGTAGTAACAAGTTGATGGTCAGCTGGCTAAATTAAGCTGCTGATAGAAAAAGCACATTGTGATCCCTGTGATCTGTCTGATTGGAACACTTTTCCCGTGCTGGATTCACTAATCTGTGAACCACATCAAAACTTAGAACAAAATTAGGGCAGACCAAGGAGGTGCTTAAAAAACCAGAGCGTAAGACCAATATGCAAACTCTGAACATATTTAGATAATTAATATCGAAAGTCACCTATTATATATAAGCTGTCCTCTACTTGCAAACAAAGCAAAAGGAAACAATAGAACTATAATAACAACTAACCCTTGGATGGGCTTGCTATGTGCTAGACACCCTCAAGACATCTTGGGCAGTGGACCTGGCATCCAGATAGCACTACATAACGGTCAAGAAAACAGACCCTGGCAGGTGTAATTGCTCGTCTTGAGATTCAGGAAAAGCGAGGATACTGTGGACTGGAATGGAAGGACAGAGCTTCATAAATGAGATGGGGGGGCCTGTCTTAGTCCGTTTGAACTGCTATAATAAAATACCATAAACAACAGTCATTTATTTCTTGTAGTTCTGGAGACTGGGAAGTCCCAGCAGATTCAGTGTCTGGTGTGGGTCACTTTCTCATAGACAGTCTTCTCACCGTGTCCTCAGGTGTTAGGCGGGTCAAAGCAGGTCTCTTGGATTCCTTTTATAAAGGCACTGATCCCCTTCATGGGGACTCCACTCCCATGACCTCATCACCTCCTAAAGGCCTCATGTTCTAATTATATCACCTTGGTGGTTAGGTTTTCAACATGTGAATTTAGGGGGAACACAAACATTCAAACCATAGCTGGCTCTATTTTCCCTCAAAGAATAGATCTTTTGCTCCATTTTCTTTTTTCCCTCTCTTGAGGCATTTTATATGTATGCATATATTCCACCCTTAGAAAAAGAATCCTTGGGTTTTTTTCTTCTGTATGTTTCACCTTGATTCTTCATGGTCCATGATGCCAGCTGAGGTTGTCAGTACAATGAAACCAAACTGGCGGAATGGGAGCAGATTAATCTGCCATTTTTCTAGGTCTTTGAGTTGTATATTAAACCTGGGGCTGATCACTTTACACTTGTTTAACCTGCCTGTGAGGTTCACAACAATTTTCCCAACTCTGTGATCATCAGTGATTTCAAATATGCCAGTGTAACCATGCCTCGTCATCACAGTTAGAAAAATGGACGATAACTTTGGACCACAGTCTGATAAGAGACTGGTGTTTGCTTCTCTTTTTGACATTGTTGATGCTCTTGATAGCACCAGCCAGGACATTAGTGCACACCATGATGGTAGCACGGAAAGATGGCAGAAAAGCTCTCACTGTGTTTTCTTAGGAGAACCATTAGCTACTAGCTGTTGGCTCCTGTGACTAAAATAGTTCTCTAAAATAAAATAGTTTAGTTTGGGCATTGTGGATATTATGACATGGCTTAGCAAATGCCCTTTGGGTAACCTCAGAACCTCCCATTGACCCAAAGTAGTGCAATTGTTATCCGCATCCAAAGGCAGCAGACTCAGGAATAAGATTGTGGGAACTGTCTAGACATATTCAGCACAGTCCTTCAGAGGGACCAAAATCAAAGGCAAAAGTGGTTAATCAGGAAAGAACATTCACAAGGTCCTGATGATAGTCAGGCTAGGTGTTTGGTCAACATTTTAGTCAAAATTCCCTTTCTGGAAATCAGCTTGCTTTGGGAGTACATTCTGCAGAATGACAAAGACTTTCTTTGAAGGCCTGTATTTTTGGTGTCTCTAACTTGAAGAGAATTTACATAGCTTATCTTTCCTAGTTATTATTAGTAACAAAATCAGAATAAACCACTTATGGTGACTCAATAACCCAGAAGACAAATTCAGCATACCTTCAACTACTGCCCTGTCTTATGCCCCAGAATGTATTTCATTTGAAAACAACTAAGCAGTCATTTAACTATTCATGGTGTTTTTGGCACTAGATAATACTACAAGTATGAGATTTCCTTTTTTTCCTTCTATTAATGCCGATAGTGGAACAAAAAGCTTGAAAACCTTAAGTGCTGCTGTTGGTTTTATGATGAAGTGCAATGTTTCGTGCTAAGTTATCTTTTCTGATCTTTATTATCGATTAGGTTGCTAACCCTATTTGTACAAAAGGGTAAGTTTAGAAAACATTTTACACAAGCTTTTGCCCCTCAGATTTGGCACAGATTTTTTTTATGGTCAAAAATCTCCTGATAGTGATGACAATGAACAGTGTATAATAATATATGGTAATAAATTGATGTGTGGAACATCAATATGCAAATAATCATTGCAGAATGATATACAAGAGTGTAATCTAGACGAAAGTGCAGCCACGGGTATTATTCATATTATATTGCAAGCTCTGCCATTTGAATGTGATGCAAATGAGTGAACCAGACTTGGCTTTGTAAATTTTTATATGCTTAGATAATGAGAAAATTATCTCCTTAAAGGCTGGACTTATAAATATTTGCTTAATGTGATTCATTAATTAAACATGTGAAAGTGCTTGTCTAGCATAAAACTAGGGGACTCTCGGTATCCGTTTTGTTTTTTTCAGAATGAAAGTGCCCTTGTGAAGGAAAAAGAGCTGTCAATCGAACTTGCAAACATCAGGGATGAAATTGGTAAGTAGGGCATTGAACACGAGGAGCATAAAGACTGTCGTTTCCTGATTCCTGTGATTGTGTAACAAAAGCAATTATGTCTCCTGTAATAAACCAGCGCAGACCTGCCTGGATGAATGGTCTTACCCAGCACAGCAGTGGGCTGCTGTAACCTGAGCAGGGAGCCTTAATGTTTTCGTCTCTGTTGTTATAAAGAGAGCTCCATAGCCGTTCACGGTAGAATGGATCAGGCCCGATTCTGCTGTTGGCAGGTGGCGGCACGTGCATCTGTCTGCGCTGATCTCTCCAGGTCCCCTCTGATAACACAAGGAGCTGTCTGCAGACACACATGTTCCATGGCTTCTTGCCACGGTCGACCCTGCCATGAAATCCTCTGTGATCTAGAACGAGGATAAAAACACACATCTGGTTGGGTTCAAAATAGGAGTGTTCACGTAGACCGTGCCAGGCATATACCATGCTCTCATGGCTTGGACCCATTTTCCCTCTCGACCATCTGTTACTCCATTTCTCCAGGGAGTCAGTCAGCAAAGGTGAAATAAACATGGCCTGTTCCCACTGGCCTATTGTGCCTCTGTTTACCAATGAGCATCTCTCCTTCACTTGTGTGGTCTAAGAAGCAGCCACCATGTACAAGCATGGTTTCTTCCATGAGCAGAGGGGCTTGAGTAATCCCAGCCATCCTCAGCAGGTGGCCAGCCGTGCAGATAGGCAGTAGGCTTCCCCCGGGGACCACAGGCCCGCAGGGTGCACTGGACAGGGTAGTGAGACCCAACCATAGCTTTCCTCCACCTTCTTTTCCTCCCAGTTCTTAATGTATTTTTTTCTTCCCTGACAGTTTTGTGACTTCTTTTGTCATTGAAATGGGTCGGCAATGGCCTCCAAGTGGGGCCCCTGCAGAAAGCAATAAATAACAGGTCTCCTTCCCAGCCTCACCTGTGTGTGATTCAGAGTGGCAGGACACACCCCCGACTGCAGGGGTGATACACCCAGCCACCCCCAAGGAAGATCCTGGGGGATTAACTCGGATGTAGGGGCTGGCAAGGAAAGACAGAGTGTCTGAGGAGAGGCCCTGGAAAGCCATGGGTCATGAAAGCAGCAGGTTCTGCTGACTCCTCCAAAGGGAAGAGTAGCTAGTGAGAACGGTGAAATCAGCCTTGCCCCCCAGGCCCTGTGCTGAGAAAGTCTCATCCTTTCTTGCTGTCATTTTTGTGGAGATTGGCTCACATTTCTCAAAGTCACTACCATTCCTTCCAACCTGCTATTTGTTGAGTGTCACCCTAAATGGCCTTCGCAGTGACGGCCCCGGGATGGCCTCATTCTCAAGGCTCCGATGGTTGATGCCTCTGTGCCCCCGATGACGTTCAGACACCAATGTGGCCATCTCTCATGAACCAGATCCCCACGTGTGTCCTCCAAGTCTCATGGTGAGAGTGACCTCTGCTATTTAACAAAGGGAAGCCCAGGCACGCTCACTGGTGGTGACCCTGCTCGATGTTGGGGATCATTTCCATTCTTCTCTAAGGAGGACGTGCTAGCCATTGACCCATGGCACCAACGGTTCCCCAGATGGTTGAGCTGCCTTCGTGCATATGTGTATATTGTATACACACGCACATGCACGCGCACACGCGCACACACGCACACACACACACGCCACAAGGGACATCCTCACTGCTGACTCCCACGATCTCTTTAAAAGAACATTCCTCCCCCTTCCCCACGGATGGAGACTATCTTATCAAAAAGAGACCCCTCCTCCCTCAACTGATCAACTCCAAAGACCACCTTCTCCACCCACCTGAGGGACCTGCACTCATTGTGATGTGATTCTGAGCCTTTCCTTCCCAAAGAAGCTGCAAGGGAGTAGTTTGTCCTATGCCCTATAGGTTTGACCTATGCCCTTCAGGTCACTTCCCTGGGGTCTTGGGAGTGGGGACAATTGTGAGCCCTTGGTCTCTTTTCCTTCTGGAATCACACCCCACCCACCTTGTAAAGGTCACCCTCCAAGATGAGCCCCGGTGGCACTCTGGGGCAGCTCAGAGGCACAGGGTAGGGGATCCAAAATTGTCAATTCACAGTGACCATGGTGTCACAGTCATTTTCTTCACCATCTCAAGGTCAGACCAGTACCTCACAGCTCCCCTTATTAAGTAGGTAGCTCTAAGCAACTTACGTGTGTCCTGACAGCTTAGCGGTCCTTTGAAAAACTAACATACATTGAAAGAAAGAAAAAAACTTTTGGTCTCCTTTTTAAGAAACACAGCTACTTGCTGGAGGTTGGCCCTGCCCAACCTCTCACACCTTGGAATCAGGTTGGATAATGGCACTCTCGCATCTTGTTTCACATTGATTTCATGCTTTGTATCACAGCGACAGCTTCACAAAGACAAGGTATCATCAAAGGGAACAAAGTGGAAACTAGTGTTGAGTTAATGTCAAAACAGAATCCCTCCAAGCTAAGCGTCTGCCCGGTGTCTGCACGGGTCCAACAGAGATCCAGCATTGATGGGCTTCCCTCGGATAACAGCATAAGATGTCCTGTGGTGCCCTCTGGGGCTGTTGCGATGGTTCAGGGTGCCTCAGCACACAGTTTGGGAATCACAGGCTTAGGGCCACTTCCCGGTCCTCAGTGGCAAGGAGACTGGAATGTGAGGATATATGAGTCTTCAAGACTCAGGACCTTATAGATGCTCATGAGAAATAGTTCATCCAGAAAAGTGTACAGTATTACCCTATGAGATTCATATCTCCTACCATCTTTTAGCATCAAATGTTGGTCTTAATTTAGGGAGTGATAGAAAGCCATTGAGGCCAGGGGTAGTGACTCACGCTTGTAATGCCACACTTTGGGATACTGAGGTGGGAGGATCATTTGAGTCCAAAAAGCATTGAATTTGTATGTTTTCTCCAAATTTTCCACCTGAGGGATACCAAGTCCTTAGCCCTGAAGTGCTATCAGCCAAGCTCTGAGAATGTATCTCCGTGAGCTTGATAGATTCGTAGGTGGTTTCAAGGCTCACTGGTTCTGAGCATGGGTTTGGAGGCTGATGACCCTGGTTCAGGTAGGGCGAATTGGGTGACCCTCTGTCTCTCAGATTCCCCTTTATAAGATGGCAAGTCCATGAAAGACGATACGGCTGAAGAAGCACTCGCTAAATGTGACTGTCACAACTATCGGGTGTGTGGCACCTGGAACCTCAAAACAGAAGATGAAAGTTTCCATTCTAGAGTGGACTCCGCTCGGAGGGATGTCTGCACCCCCGCAGGAAAGCTTTGGATCTGGGTGCACTGTGCCCCCTGGCACAACTGGGTCAGGTGTGCCAAGTGCAATGCCGCTTCCCTGTGTGCTTTCCAGAAGCTTCTAAATGTGGCAGGCGCTACCCACATATTACCTTGGGGTTTTGGTTTAAGTCTTATTTGATGTCTGCGTAAGTGCCAAGAATAGTGCCAGAATTATCTGCCAGATGAAAAAGCTAGTGGAGGGAGGCCGGGGCAGCGGGGGGCGGAGGAGGGGGCTTGGCAGCACCCACAACTGGTCCTGTCAGCTCAGCATTCATCCTTGGCCGACACTTGAGCAGCGAGAACTCAATCCATGGTCAAAATCGCATTAGTGAGAGAAGAGAGGAGGAATGTGGGATCACTTGTCAACTGACACCATGGACTGTAAAGTCCCTAAGTTCTGGAGTCTTGAATGCAGTGTTATTTCCTAGAAGTGAGAAAAAAATTAAGCATACAAACCTGACTTTTAAATGATCCACAGAGCAGAGTGGTCAGTCCCATTCCCTCACCACAAGCCCTTTCCTTATTCAGACTTCTTGTCAGCAGAGTCTGATGGGAGCTGGGGGTGTAGCTATGTGGAGGGCTGTGGGGGAGACAGAATTTCTACCGGCTGTGGCTTCAGACATGGAGGAAGGTGCCGGTTTTGGAATAGTTCAGGCATACTTATTGAAGATTCCAGAACAGGGCTGTTCCTGCTCCCCCCCACAATCTAAAAGTTACTGCTTAAAGTTCTCCATATCTATTAAACTGCTGCCCTAAGTTCCACTAGTATCTGCCAATGAGTACCCATCAGTTATCCTCAGTTTTGGGGTGAGGAAATTGAATAAAAAACTTTTAGCAGCCAGGTGAAGTGGCTCAACCCTGTAATCCCAGCACTTGGTGAGACCGAGGCAGGAGGATTGCTTGAACTCAGGAGTTCAAGACCAGCCTAGGCAATGTAGAGACCTCATCTCTACAAAAAATGCAAAAATTAGCTGGGCATAGTGGCACACACTGGTAGTCTCGGTTACTCAGGAGGCTGAGGCGGAAGGATCACCCGAGCCCAGGAGGTTGAGGCTACAATGAGCCAGGATCACACCACTGCACTCCAGCAGAGTGAGACCCTGACACACACACACACAAAAAAGCATTTAGCATGTAGTCAGAATCATTTTTGCTGACAACTCTCATCCCCGAAGCATGTTAGAATCACCTAGGCAACAGCTCAAATATTTGAGGATGAGGCCTTGGCAATTATTTTTAATTCCTCAGGTGCATATTAAGTACAGTGAAGCTTAAGAACCAGTGAGTTACATGGAAGGAACAGAGTTTTGATTTGGGCCAGGGACAAAGTTGGGGGGGCAGTAGGTAATTTGAGATAAGCCCTGGGTGAGATGGGCTTTGGGGAACTGACTACAGGTCACCCTCAGTGTGTTTGCTGACATTTCACATTTACAACACCTTCCCAGGTGTGACACCACTGGTGGTATCACGGCAGAACCTTCTAGAAGGTCTGTAGTTTGATATGTTTCCTCCCACCTGGCCTGAGAACCCCTGATAGTTTTTAGGGTAGGGATTTCCTGGCAGTTGATATATAAGAGCAGGCCCTTGTGAGTGCTATTTTTCTGATGCCAGACGTGTGAGAGATGTTTCTACAACAACAGCCAATCCTTCCACACCAGCTGTATCCTTCCACACCCAGTGAGTCAATTCAGTTCTGACATAAGTCATCCAGAGTT